TACATAGACGGGCTTCAGTATATGTGAAATATCAATCAACCACAACATTCAGATCACCTGCTTGTCTGAACTGCTCAGACTTCTGCTTGCTGTGCCTCATAACACGGCACCCCATGCAGAAATAAATGTTGATCGTCTAGATCTAAAACAGCCCTTGACAACGGGATTGCTAGTGTACAGGAAGCATGCAAGAGAACTAGATAAGATGCGTGCCTCAGTGGAGTGAACAACAGGGATATCTATGAACTTGCTTCCCGTCTCCAGCATCAGCGCTTCACACCCAGTGCCCAATCAGAGTGAGTGACACTGAGTAGAGGCCAGCCTGACCACAACGTTTTGAAGTTCAGCGCTTCATCTAAAGGCCAGGTCTCCCACTAAGGCTGACTGAATGTAATGAATGCAAAACAAATCTCAGCACCTCATTTGCATTTCAAGTCCAAGGCTGAGTGACTCATTATAGCGTATCTTAATAAAAAGCAATTACAGCTGTGGAACATAACGGCTAATTGTAACGACTGTGTTGTGTCATATGTCTTACTTTTTAAAATCACAAAAAAAACAAAAAAACATAAGCCGCTGGAAACTGCAGCTGGGTCCAGTACTTTTTTTCAAGTCTTTTGGATTCTGTCAGAAAAATGCATCCAACTGGGCTAAATGTCACTGTAACAAACTTTTCTAGGCCCTTTAATGTCTCGTTTGTCTGATTTTATCAGTTTCCTGTTTTGTGTGTGTGTGTGTGTGTGTGTGTGTGTGTGTGTGTGTGTGTTTGCTTTGTCAGTTTAGCTGTTCATTGATTTATTGTAATATGTTATATTTTGTGCATTTATGTGAACCTAAATTCACAACATGACTTTGGCTCCCTGCCATAAGCTGAAGGTTTTATATTTGCTGCTATTTGCATTTCAAACTGTCGTGACTTTTCACATTAGATAAATAAACACAGTCCTTCTATAGGGCAGCACTTTAAGAGATTCGGTACACTGCTAAAAAGAAAATAACAAGCACAGTATTTTTATTGAGTGTGAATAATCCATAGATTAAAAGTGAAGCGTCTTAGTTCAACACAAATCGTACAGTTCTGCTGCAGATGAGGTTTGTCAGTAACAGAGCTGCTGTAACCGTGGGAACACTCACGAGGTCACGGGAACAATCACATCTGCTCTCAAAAACAACTCTTATATATGGAAACAGAAATCAGAGAAAAACACTGTTAGCATGCTGCAGCTGCACCACACCTGCACATCTGTTGGCCCCCTGATGACCTCGTGTCCGTCATGCTGCCTTCATATGGGGCTGTGATGGATGTGTTTATAGACCTTCTGTAATGTTACAGCGCTGATGTAAAGTTGTTGTGTAGAATTAGGCCTGAGTAACTGAACTCAGTAACTTCATAATGACGACAAAGATGTAATGTGTATTTAGTACTTTTGTCACTAAAATAGTGAACTGACTAAAGCTAGATTGAATCTAAGTTATATTCTTGTTCCTACAAATTCTTATCTTTGTCCATCTCAGTGACTGTCCTGGTGTTATTGTTTTATCTCAGTCTTCTTTAGAAAAAGCCAGAATCTGGTTCAAACACGTTATCACCAGGAAGCTGTTTTTATCTTTTGCTCCTGATTTATTATCTAGACCCCCTAAAGAAACATGTATTCAGTGGCTGTGGTCTTTGATCTACAGCATAGTAATTAGTCTTTGTGTCATGACCCTCCCTGTGCACTGCCCCCTGTAGGCTGCAGATGTTGGAGGCCATCTGTAAGCACTGGGAAGGTCCCATCAGCCTGGCCCTGTACCTGTCAGACGCTGAAGCCCAGCAGTTCCTGCGCTACGCTCAGGGTTCCGAAGTGCTGATGAGTCGCGGGAATGTAGGTTACCACATTGTCTACAAGGAGGGACAGTTCTACCCAGTGAACCTGCTGAGAAACGTGGCCATGCGGCAGGTCAACACACCCTACATGTTCTTATCAGACATTGACTTCCTTCCCATGTACGGCCTCTACGAGTACCTCAGGTAAGTGAGAACCACCTGAGCTGGATAGAAACCTTGACAAGAACAACTCTGCTCTTGTATTTGTTCATCTTGTTTGTATGTAACAAATCACTGTGTGTGCTTTCAGGAAGTCAGTAGTGCAGCTAGACATGGCCAACACCAAGAAAGCTCTGGTGGTTCCTGCCTTTGAGACGCTGCGTTATCGCCTCTCGTACCCAAAGTCTAAAGCTGAGCTGCTGTCTCAGCTTGACATGGGGACCCTCTTCACCTTCAGGTCAGCCACTTTTTCATTCAACAGACACTTCAGCAACTCTTCTCATTTCTCTGTCAGTTGTAGAAGTTGCACATTTAATGTATTTATTGTTTCATGCTCAGATGTTTGCCTCATCCTTAGAGCCACACAGAAAGTCACAGTTACTTTTGGGCAGAACTAGCAAAAGGCAACACACAAACATCCAGGGCAGTTAAGAAAACGTAATAAGCAGATGAAGTGATTGGCAGTTTCATCAGGATGTACAGTTAAACTGTTGTAGGGCAGTGCATGGAGCTCTACACACTTTGTGGAAATGCAGCTGTATCTGAGAAGCAGTCAGGCAGCTCAAAGTGAGCAGCATATCAGAAGACTGATACATGCAGCTTTCACACAGAATCATCTAAATAAAGGATGCAGGGCTCCAATCAGCACAGTTCCTGTAAAATGGAGGCTGTGTAGTCGTGTCTCAGAGGACAAGGAGCATCTGTAGACCAGTTCTGTGGAGGGTTAAGAGAGAGCAGCGTTTCACAGTGGATGATGGAAAGAAGTCATTTTTACTGACACATTCTAGCTCATGGCAGTGAAAGAAGTGCTTGTATAAGGAGACCAACAGCAGACAGAACAGTACCATTACCACACTACCACATACCAATTAACCTCAGCATGTTTCTGCTGTTTCACGGGGAGAACATGGAGACTCCACGCAGAAAGATCCAGGCCCAGATTCAAACCCAGAACCTTCTAGCTGTGGGGTAACAGGGCTAACCACTGCCCCCACTGTGCTGCCACAGTGAAAAATGCTGCTGGGAATGTTTGATGTGTTGGAGGTTTGCTGTTCTAAAGTTGGACACCTGCAGAACTCTGACCAAGGAGAAGCAGCGCTCTGGAGAATCATCCCAAACACTCCTCAAAGCTCTGACATGAGGAGCAAAGTCACCTGCCCTCAACCTCACTGAACATTTATGGGGGCACATGAATACAGACAAAGACAAACGTTCCTGACATGACACTCAGCTCTCTGGACCATTGTCACATCGTGCTGGAGGAACATGGTTCACTAGGTTCCACCAAACTGGTCCAGTCTGTGCAGCTCAAGTGCTGCTGACGTTAATGGAAGAGGAGGCGCAGACCAAAGTTATTCTACATGCATGTACATTTTTCAGACATTCAGTTGTTCCCTCAAATTGGAATTTTAAAGGAAATGTAATGTAGCAGGGCTCTGGACTGGTTTGTCCAGTGGTTCCAGGACCACTGCTCAGGACTCCTGTTAGAAAATACATCAGTGTCTTAACACGTCCCTTTGATTTGTACATTATAAATGAATGAACTTGCTTCATACTGTGGCCCTGTGATAACGCTCTAATTTCCCACAGTAAAAGTCATTTGATTTGATCGTCTTCACCATATTTTTCAAGTTTTGTGTCACAACCAATGCATCTGTACATCTTTCTTTGCACTGGCAGTATAGCGGTGCTGTTTATTATCCGTCTTACACCACACACCGTGGAGTTGGCAGAGCAACACGCTGTAAGGTTTTTCTATATGGCTGGAGAAACTGGCTGTTCATTTTTCTCCTGTGTGCAGCCCTTACAGGCGGTCAAGCCTCCTTCAGTCACGCTCACTTTGCTTCATCCGCCTCGAATTCTCAGTCAGTAAATACCTCTTCTATCTTGGTGGTTGGAGGAGAAAGAAGTGTCATGATGGCACAGACTGAAAAAGAGACAGCACGACTTTGATTTGATCTGCAGAGTACGAGAAACGTTCCATCAACAATGACTTGATTTCCAGACCTTCTATGTTGGGATGTGAGAGCTGGAGACCAAAACGCCGCCTGGTATTTTACAGACTGTTTCACTTCTTTCCAGGAAGACTGGATGTAGGAGCAGAGTTCACACTCCCTCCAACAGCAGCCTGATGTAAGCCTTTCTGTTTTTCCTCCTCACAGGTACCATGTGTGGACTAAAGGCCACGCGCCAACAAACTTTGCCAAATGGCGAACAGCTACGACACCTTACAGGGTGCAGTGGGAGGCCGACTTTGAGCCCTACGTCATGGTGAGGAGGGACAGTCCCGAGTACGACCGTCGCTTTGTGGGCTTTGGCTGGAACAAGGTGGCTCACATCATGGAGCTGGATGCACAGGTAACTGACATGCCTTCACTTCATCACTAAACTGGATTTAGCTACCTGTCTAGACTTTTCAGTGTGAAAGTGTCCTGATTTCTTCACACCACAAGTACATGTACTGGATTGGTTTCTGGTATTGAGTGTGTCCATGTATTTAATTTAAAGGAAAAGTCCACTGTTTTACTCAGATCTTACTTTTGTACTGTTTTGTGTTTTTGTACCTCATCAGTAAAACTTAGCATTGTGCTTCCCAAACTGTGGAATGTGGTGATGTAGTGACGAGGAAGGACCAAAATCTTAATCAGACAAATGATGGCTGTAGTTGTATTGCTTTCCACTTCCGGAAGATTCTGCTCTCCAGTCTGACCTGTATGAAAATAATTCTGATTTTGCTCTATTATAAGGCTTTATTGGGTAGGTTTAGGTCAGGTTTGGCTGAAGTGCTTCATATCGTTCTTTGTAATGACCTATTCTGTGAAATGTCATCTTATAATGAAAGTTCTTGGTAGGAACAGCCTGTCCAGCACTGTCAGAGTGTGACTGCTGAACGTCTTGGCTCCTGGTTCCTCAAAAATATCAATAATGAAAATAAAAATGTAACCATAAAGTAACCCTGCATGAATCAATATTTTTATTGTCAGCCACGGCTGGTCCTCTTCTCACGCACTGAATGAAGCAAACGCTGCAGGATCTGTTTGTAGACGAGCTGGTTGATCGTCTGAAGGAGAAAACTTCTAGTTTGTAGTTTGAGTTTGAAATCTATCTTTTGTGACACCAGTCCTGGAGCTTTTCTGACACACCTCGTACATCAGATGACAGTGTTTCATGAAAGTTGTGGCTCATTGTGACAAATCCACAAACTCTGACAGTGATGGTTCTGCTTTCTGCCTCTGCTGTGCCGTGTCTTCAGCTCCTTTAAGCTCTCTGTTTTGATTATGGCAAAATGTTAAACTAGTTAAATGACGGCCAGCTTGGTGAGCACTGCTTGCATCATGTTTTAAATGCTGAACTGTATTTGACAGTAGCCCAAGTAGAGAACAGACACCAGGTCAGCACACTAACTCAGTCATGCCTGTCTATCTAACATTTGCCAACACTACCTAGCGTTAGCCATTGCATGTGATGTAACCTTATGTGTGGTGATGTAACAAGGAGACTGTGAAGCACTGAAAACTCACAGTTCTTCCTTTCTAATCCCTCTACAGGAGTATGAATTTGTGGTTCTGCCCAACGCCTACATGATCCACATGCCTCACGCGCCCAGCTTTGATATCACCAAGTTCCGATCCAACAAGCAATACAGAGTCTGCCTCAAGACCCTGAAGGAGGAGTTCCAGCAGAACATGTCGCGGCGCTATGGCTTTGCCGCCCTCAAGTACATGACAGCTGAGAACAACAGCTAGCCACCACTGCAGGCCCTCACACCCCACGCCCTGAACTACTGACACACTCCACGGGCTGGGCTCGGGCGAGGCACCAGGATCGGACGGCCCATGTGGAGCCAGTGGGATACTTTGACTTGAGTCCCTCAGACTTTGTTAGAACATTTGACCCTCAGCGTGGGACTGCAAGGGTCTTTATGTCCATACTTTGTCCTGCTGTGGATAGAAGAGATAATCCAGGAGGAGTGTACTTCTGCCGGGATGTTAAAGCTGTGAAAGACGACATGAGTGACTGCTGGGTCTGGGCCCCGGCTGTGAGAGCACTGAGCCCCAGCTGTGGGATCTAACAGACAGCAGGCGAAGGAAAGCAGACATCCTATGCCATATTTGTAAGACCAGTGACAGAGTTGTGGGCAATGTGTAACATTATGTATGTATGTATGTGGGTGTATGTGTAGGGAGATGAAAAGTGTGTGTGTGTGTGTGTGTGTGTGTGTGTGTGTGTGTGTGTGTGTGTTTATGTGTGTGTATGTGTGTGTGTGTGGGCGCTTAGCAAAAACCTTAAGGAGAACTGAAGATGGAGGCAGTGCAGGGTCACACTGTGTCTGCACGCTACAAAGAGGAAAAGCCCTCCAAGTGCCATGAGGTAACAGAAAGCTGCCGGTTTGACTGACAGCACGCCCCGACTCAAATGCAAATTGTCAGCAGGCGGCGAGATAAGACAAAGCGGTATACGTGTCCACAAAGATTTTGAAAATCTCATTCTGACGAGTGACACATAGCCAGATATGGAGACGAGCAGCCAGCCAGCCGACCATCTGCTGCTGCTTAATTTGTTTCATAGCTGATACAGATCAGAATAAATCCTCCTCCTCATATGACAAGGGAAGTTAAGTGCAAGGATGGCTGGAGGTCGTCCACTCGGTTGATATTCAGGGTATCTCCACATCAGCCTGAGCGTGCTGCTTCAGAGTGTTCCCACTGTTTTGTTATGACTGCAGAATCTGACAGCAGCTGGTGTGGTGTGCTTCTTTTAGTGTGTTTTAAACGTGAGTCCAGTGAGCGTGCACAAACACCTGCTGTACGTTGGGTTAGTGAAGCTGCCACACCACCACGCTGAGCAGCATCAAGGCAACGCGCCAGTCACTCAGCTCACTGTCCACCTTTCTTTCCAACAATCAGTGTTATTTCTTAGTGTGTTTACAGTCCTGATAGGTGCAGTGGGGAAGGCGGGGGTTCCTCAGAGCGCCACCAACAGGATGGGAGGAGGATCGAACTGAGAGTTTAAACTCTGTGAAAATCAGGCAGTTCCAGTCAGGACAGATATCAAACACTGTTTCTTGTTCTCACACTCTTTCTTTCTTTCTTTCTTTCTCATGCTGGCCTCTAGTTTAACAACATTATAGCAGCCAGATCAGCCAGTACCACAGTGGCAGTGTGTGTTCTGGTGTGTGTGCTGCCACTCAGGCGGGTCATGGTGATGCTGATATGGGTGTGCTGTGGATATTCTGTATTCAGCTACTTCTGCAAACAAATCTTGTGTTATCTGCAGAGGCTCGAGACACGACGAGCAGGCTGACAGTCACTTTCATATTTTTTCTGATATTAAACCTCACTGTTCAGTATCTACATCATATATTGTTAGGATATAATTTAAAACGAAAGTTGGATGCAGACATGAAGCAATAGTGTGAGATATCACAAGTTACTGTAGGAATATTATTTGAAGTATTATGTTGTTGTTAGAAGTTACAGTACCTTAAAGAATGTAAAGTGTCGCACTGTGGTTTCTGACAGGGACGTTGTTTTAATGTTAGGGCTTAAAGTGATCTCTTCTCTTATCTAGAGTGTCATGGTAACACACCTGGAACTGTATGGTAACTGAGCAGAAAGGCAGAAGAACATCTAATTACTTGATCGGCTCATGGAAGTATGAAGGAAAACCCAATACTGGGCTTAAAGGTGGCATCCACTCATCTCATTGAAAGTTGCCAGTCAGGTGCGTGAAACAAAAAGGTTTCTTGTACAGCCCACTGCACATGCTCATTCCAGTTTCCACCACTGGTCCTGCCTGTAGGTTTCCACACAGATATGAAAGCTCTGTGAATTAAACATTCAGGACAGAAATGCCAAAAAAACATTCTTGTTTGCAGTTGGAGGTGTTCTATCAACATTTTCTCCACTCGCATCTGCAAAATGACTCTTGACGCAGTCAGTCCAACAAGTTTTTTTGAGTCTCTGGAAGTGACATATGACAGGAAGTCAGTTGTCTCAGTTGTGCATGTTCTCTACAGATTCAACTGGTGGGACACCAGTGAGCTTTACGAACCCAGAATTCCAGATGCATGTGGTCCTTCTCGGTACCTCATGGAGTAAGCTCGACATTTTTAACATATGCACCAGTGCACAACTTTCCTTTGAATAAGAGAGGCTCCATCCTATAGTCCATTGATCCGTCCCCCCTCAATTTTCTACCACTTCCAGTATCAGCTCTTGGTGCAGCAGGCTAAGTAGGGCATTCCAGACATCCCTCTCTCCAGCAAGGTTTTCCAGTTGTGCCTTAGGATTCTAAAGAGTTCTCTGGCCAGATGAGATATACAACCCCTCCAGTGAGTTCTGCTTCTACCCTGCGCTCTCCTCCTAATTGGACTTGAAAACCTCCAAAAGAAGGCAGCCAGGAGGCATCTTAATCATAGGCATGAATCACCTCAGCTGGCTCCTTTTGTCACGAGGAAGCAACGAGTCTACTTTGAGCTCCCTCTGAATATCAACACTTATCTTATTTCGGACCCCAGCCAGCCTCTGGAGGAAACAAATTTAGGCCTGTTCTCTGCAGGATTTCGTTCTTTCGGTCACTACCCAGTGCTCTTGACCATAGATGTGGGTAAACGTAGATTGACTGGTGAATTGTAAGTCTTACCTCCTGGCTCAGCACCACTTCACCAACAGTGGGGTACAATGCTGGCATTACAGGTGCATCCTTTCCAACCCCCTGAAGTAAACTCTTCTCAGGCTGGATATTGGGATAACCCTGAAAACGGAGCACACCCTTCTGCTCCACAGTTTGAAAATGGAAACCACCTTCTTGGTCTTCCCCTCCTCGTATGCTGTCCCAGACCATCATGCAGCCTATAGGAGACATGTCAGCCAAGACAGCCCAACAGTGCCCAGAGGCCTCAGTTTCTAAGAGCAAATCATATCCACACCTGGTGCCTTGTTGCAGAGGAGCTTCTTGAATACTTCAGCTATGTCTGCAGAGGATATTGGTGAGTCTTTCCCCTGTTCTTCAGAACACGTACCTCTTCCACGGGGGACTTGTTGGCCGAGGAACCCTTCAAAGTACTCTTTAGGTCTGCTCAGCCATCTGATCCATGTAGTAGATTTTAGTCCAGTCATGTTGCCCGCCTGATGTGACTGAAAAATAAGATGATCTTGACCTTGACTTGGAACTGTTTTGTTCAGCTGTTGTTTTCAGCACCAAGAATGTGACGATTTTCATTCACAGCTTTGAGCCACACCAAATTAGAAGTCCTAAAAACGCATAAAAGATTTATCGTCATGACAACTGATCCAGGCCTGCCCAAAGGGGTTCAGGTGGTACCTGGTCAAGATCCGTTTGAAGTGACTGTCAACATACAAAGTCAGCAGAGCTCAGATAAAGATGTAAGTCTGAATAGAACTAGCTTTCATTCCATGTATTGTTGTAAAACTAGAGGCTGCTCTCGCTATATATATATATATATATATTGTATAGGACTGGGCGATATAGCTGTAAAATATATCATGATCAAGTATTACATATCAGTCAAATTGATAACTTTGGATAATTTTTGATAGCCTATTTTTAAAGCAGGGGGAAAAAATATTGGTTTAAACCACCTCACTAAACCTTTTTAACTACGGTGAATGTAAGCATTGTATTTATCGAGGTACACGGAACATCATTTTAATGTCGACAATGAAAAATGCACACAATGAAATACGTGTACACAATTTAAAACAACAAATCAGAGGGATGGGGTTATGGAATCATCTACCGATACGAAGTAATAAATGCAAGAAGTAAAATCAACCTCAACTTAATCCTCTAAACTACTGTCAGTGTAAACTGACTAAACATTAACCAGATGCGATCAATAAACAAACGTTAGGGCACACAGAGAGGGACCAGGACAGATTCAAGGCTGCTCTGGAGCTGGTGTCAGTGGTCAGAAAACCGGCTTTGATCTTCATGTCTGATGTCAAGTCCGTCCGTCCCTTCAGCAAGAGTGGATCACTGAGGCCACAGTGTAGCTGCTTGTCTTGGAAGGCCTTAATGGAAGCCATGGAGAGAGCAGCACTGGACAAAGAGGCTCCATTATCAAGAGATACGATGAGCTGTTTATGAGCCAGGAAGGAAGCAGCCTGCGGTTTGTTCATGCAACCAAACATGCTATTGATGAAATGTCTTGAGGTTACATATCGCTATCATCGCCCAGACCTAATACTCTCTCTCTCTCTCTCTCTCCCTCTCATGATCTCTCTCTCTGTCGTGACAGCAGTCTCTCATGGTGTAAAGGAAAGCAGCAGAAGGGCTCGGTGCATGTGTGGGTTGAGATGTGTGGTTGAATAAGCTGCGTCTGATTGTTGTCTGATGTTCTGTGTGTGTGTGTGTGTGTGTTTGAGAGAGAGGGAGAATTTGAAGTCTGAATCTTTTCTGACTGTATGTGTGTGGCTTTGCGGTGCTGGGAGGCACTGCAGTGTGTAAGTAGGACAGTGACTGATGCTGCTACCTGAATAAAAGCAAAGAGTCAAACACTGGTGTTCCTTTGTTTCTTCATTTCTGTCTCCATGAATATCGTATCAGTTTAGCCTCATGATCCCAGAGGAAGAAGGCATGCATGGAAACACATGCACCTTGCACACACAGCACATTACACCGGTGTGTATTTGCATTTGCAAGAATTCCCAAAAGTAAGCACCTTCCCAAGTTAAAAGGGCATTCTTTTGATTTTACATGACAAAGTGGGTTTATTCTTCACAGGCAGTTGTCCTCAGTCTGTGTTACCAGCTGCTTAATGTGCAAGTACGATACTGATGGACTTGAATCCACACAGTGTCACATTCTGTCAGCGTTTTTAATCCAACATGTTCTCAGGTTTGACCACAACACACTGTTTAATTCAAAGCACGCTGCTCTCTTAAAGCAGCTGACATTAGAAAGCCTCTATTAACATGACAATAAGATTAAAGAGCAGCCTGAGTAGAGCCCTGCTCATTATAAGGTTTAAGCTGACACACAGTCAATCCTACAAACACGTCTCCATTCATCACACCGATTTGTTCTGCATTAAACAAACTAATAATAATCAGCTTGTTTCTGTTGCTGATGAAACTCTGAATGAGCACATGTCCACAGACAGCAGTGATGGGACAGATGCACTCAGTGAGGCCTTTATGAGGAACAGCCTACCAGCCCTGGGTCAGACCTCCCTTTGACTTGTGACAGCCTCTGTTCTTTATATGATGGAACCATTCCTTTAGGACTCTGTTCCATATTGACACTACTTCTGCAGACTTGTCAGCTGTACATTCCCTGTTTTACCACATCCCAAAGTTGTTCTACTGTACTCAGATCAGCTGACTGCAGAGGTCATTAAAGTTCACTGAACTCTTTGTCATCTTCATGGAAGCAGTTGGAGATGATTCTTGCATTACTCTGCTGGAATCGATCATTAGAAGATGGTGAAGTGTGTCGATAGAGGGATGCACATGGTGACCCCAAAGCATGATGAATGAGTTTGTGTTACCAGGACATGCTATTTCCAGGACCTTCAGTAAAAAAGCAACTGGACTTCTGTTTAAGGTTCGTTAGAGAAGTTTCACACTTATCAGGGAGGTTTCCTCAGTTCAGATGGAGTAGTGATATTGAAGCTTCACAGATGTAAAGAGTAGTCATCTGAGTTCCTGTAGCCTCTCTGTCAGCTCCCACCAGTCTGACCTCTCTCACCAACAAGCTGTATCTATCCACTGGACTGATGGTCACTGGATGGGTTTTGTTTTTGAGCATTCTGAGCAAACCCTACAGATAGCTGTAATGAGAATTCTGAGAATTCAGTTTCACAAAATCTCAAAGCAGCCCATCTGACATCAACGGTCATGTCACGGTCAAAGAACACAGTGTCTGATGTTTGATGCAGATGGTCTGCACTTATGGAACACTTTTCTTCTTCTCATCTTTCCCTTAGCGGTACTCAAAGCACATTGCAGTGTGTCCTATTCACCCATTCACACACACTCACTCACCAATGGTGTTCAAGCTGCCATGCAAGGTGTTTGGGAAAACTTTGGCTTTAACCTGAGCCCCAGCCGCCCAGTGTGAGCAGTAACTAGAGATCCTTCCTTGTATCCGCAGGACGTTATGCTGCGTTATGCACTGCTGTCACATGATTGACTGACTGCAGACATTGATCAGAAATGGTTTTGGGAACATGACAAAGAGATCAAGGCACTTACTCTCACTCCAAATGAGCATCTGTGCGATCGATGTGCAGGAACAGAAGTACGGTCCACGGAGGCTCCACCCTGCAACCCCCACCCTGCAACCTCCAGTGTTTGTAGAATCTGCTGCCAAAATCTTGGTGTCGGAAACCACAGGACTCCTTCAGATGTCTGTGGAGTCCAGGGGCCTCATTTATCACATTTATGTGCATAGGGAGTTCCTACGCAAAGTATGGGATTCATCAACTTATCCTTAGGAATGTGTGTAAATATACAAGTGGGATTTATCAACACTGATGTGCTACGACCTCCGTCAGCACATTTGATAAAAACAGATTTTTTTTGTACTTACGCACATTCTACATTTCATGCATACGACAGAATTTAGAACCTTTTCTACGCACTGATGATAAATGAGGCCCCACTTGTTCTTAACCTCCGTGCTCGTGCATGTTGCCTTCAGGAACGCCTCCAAATCATCGTACAGGGCAACAACACGCCTCTTTATAAAGCAAGTGAAGATTTATTTTTTCCTCACCTGTCGTCATCATCGCAGCAAAAAGGGCGAAAAAGAGGAACTTTTCAGAGACTGAGATCGAGGTACTTGTCAATGAGGTTGAAGCAAACCAGAAAGTATAGCTTGGTGCGTGAAATGTTGGGATGAGCAGCGAAAGAAAAAATATTGCAGACAAGATAACCACCACAGTTATTTCTGTTGGTCAGAGGAAAGATCGCCGGCAAAAATTTTAAGAAGTGGTTTGACGTTAAGCTCAGTGTCAAAAAACGCATCACAGTCCATAAAAGAGAAATGGCTGCAACTGGAGGAGGACCAATAAATACCCAACGTCCAGCTCCTGCTTGGAGACCCACAGAGCTGTTCTGCTCAGTGAACGAGTCGTGTTCCTCCAGGCCACCGGCAACAACGTTGGAAAGCCACAAATGTGCATCACAAATTATCTGTATGTTGATTGAATGAAACTCTTTTCTATTTACAAAATGAAGCTCGTCTAGTGATGCTGCTTTGAATGTGATGTGGGTACAGTCTATGGCTCCACTTATGTTTGGAAATCCAGCGACGGCGTTAAGTCCCCGTTTGATTTGGGCTTGTTGGTGATGGCTGTAAGGGAACTGGATGCAGGCTGGGGCCAGGGGAGGTATAGCATCCAACACTGCCGGCTTGATCCTGTTGCATAGGTCTCCAACCTCACGCTGGAATGTGCCGGTGGCCAAAATCCCTGAATGCTTTATATTTGTAGTTTCACTGTTCCACCGCTAGATTATGTGCGTACGCATGGTCAGAGGTGTTTAGGCACATTCCTAAGTATAAGTACAAGTTGATCAATTCCATACTCTGCGTAGGAATGTTTGTATGCTCTGATGATAAATGAGGCCCCTGCCTCTATGAGTCAGCTGTTTAATAGGTCATGGAGAACCTACACAATGCGAGCCAAGAGGTTTTAATGTTGTGGCTGAACAGTGTATATACATAAAATGAGAAGCATTATGACAGGTGAAAAATACACTTTTCACTTAAAATTGTTGTCTTTCTTTATTATTCGGTATCATTTGTTTTATATTTCTGACCTTTAATACATTGATTTTTATTTTTTTTTATATATATATAAAATAGTTGCTGAGGCTTTATTTCATACAGGGAGATTCCTGAAAATAAGCTTTTCATTTGTTCTAATTATCTGACAAATGTTTAACAGGTGCACACAACTGAACTCTCACCCAAAATGAACTGCTGGCGTCATCTACAGTGAGTCTTCTTTTAGAAGCACAGATGCTCCAACTGGTTCAGGTAGACAGCTGCACACCCCCAGTCTGCTTGTATAGAAGATGTTTCATCCTGTTAAAAGGGAGTTTTTCCTCCTCTCTGTTACCAAGTGATGCTCAGACGGGGAACTGTTGTGTTTTTGTTCTATAATTTTGTAAAGTCTTGACCTTAGATGACATGTTGTGATTTGGATGTTTGAACAGATCAGCTGAACTCTGAAGTTATAGAAAACTAGTTATACGTTACAGACACAGATACCGAGAGTAAGGTCTCCAGTTGGGTTATAATGAGTCATGTCAGTTTTTGCAGTCATTAAGATGTCTTTGGACAACAGCGTCTGCTTATATGCACTGCACGCTTCATATTTATGTCAAACATAATGTTAAAGTATGTGATGGTTAATGTGCTCTGGTGTTTTATATACACCTTTTTCACCATTCATCATAACCAGCTGCCAGATGAATAAATGTAAATGTTTTAGTCAGTTATATGAAACAGAAACATACTTTTATAATCCACGAGCTGACCGATTTGTGCTGCTCTTAGTTTTTCGTTGCCATGTTTTAATTTTCTCTGTCCATGTTACCAAAGCATTATGCTCAGTCTGCACAGTGGGCCTGTTGTTGCCATATTTGAGGAACAGTGGGCTGACCTGACTCTAAATGAAATGAGAGCAGAGAGAGCGAGAGCACCCAGTTTATCAGCTCCCTGGTGTCTGACTGTCCCCGCTGGAGCCATTTCTTAACTTCCCTTTAATGAAGGTCCCACGACACCATTTCTCTTATCGGATAGACTATTAAAAGTTTTAGAGGTGCCACTCATTAATTCAATTTAAAATTTAATGCATGAATTTCAGCTGACTTTCGGATAATAAATTCACAGGACCGGATTCTCTCCAGCCTCACAGTGCTGGACTGGAGGCTGTGAGAGGAAAAGGGGAGATTTAGCTGCACCTACAACCACAGTACACAACAGAAGTTAGCACGCCGCTACGCAAGATCACTGAAATGCTAAATGATTCAACACTGTATCACCGTACAGTCACCGCTTTACTTCCAGTAGGGTCTGTGGTCTGATTTAAAATTAAAACAGTGAAGTGGCAACAGAGCTTCATACTGAGATGGTCCTCCAGTGTCCTATCATTTGTTACCACCTGGAGAGTGCAGGTGCAGTGTGTAATACTCACAACCTTGTTTCCAAAAATAAATAAAGAGAGTTCAGTTCACTGCTGATTTGGATTTATTGCAAAAACAAGCACCACAGAATAAAACAAAGTGGAGCTACTTCAGTGTCCTTAATATGTGAACGATAGCGCTGCGGATGCTATTGACCTGCAGATGTTTTCCTGGGGCTGATGCCAATGATGCAACCCGTCTTCTCTCCATTATGCACGATGCCGGCCAACGTACAGGACTGTGCCCTCACCACATGAGTGCACACATGAGCAAACACAAACAGAAAAATCAATAATCATGTAAAGTTAAAGTACATTTAAATGTGTCTCCTACAAACAGTTTAGATGTGTTATATTAAGAAT